AAAAAAAAAAAAAAATGATTAGACTATATTCCACAACAAAGTATATATAAAACTTATTTTTGTAGATAAAAAAAAACTTATTGTCGAATCGCTTCTATCGCGATTTGCCCGAGTTGCATTTCCAATAAACATATTTAAGTATCTAAAAAAAAAAAAAAACTATTGTTGCCAACTCTACAAAAAATCGAACTATAAATTCTCTTGTCTACCATGTATCTTCTTCATGTGTACATAGTAATTCATCTTACTCTCGCCTTGTGTGTAAATTATTTTTCCATTTTGTCATTCATACATTTTTACAGCTCAATGTATAATTTTTACGAATACATGTGAACGAATGTGTTATAAATATCGATGATTATGTAAAATCGGAATGATATTGTTATATAAATTGTCCTTATTTTGTGACATATACAAAAAAAAAAAAGAGGAAGAGATTTTATCGATACAAACATCTTCGATGTTAGAGTTTAGTACTATTGTATATTTAGTATTATCACGCGAAATTCGCGTCAAAAGTATTAATGATGCGACATTAGAGATAAAAAAAAATTTTGTTTTTAATAAAGACCATCGCGCGCGCGAGACAAATTCGTCCAATATTATATTGCTAAATTTGGAGATTATACGTGTTACATAAATTTTATTCCAAAAAAGACTAACTAAATAGATATGTGAAAGTGTTGTTGCATCATCTCTTTATATCCAACAATTGCAACAATTTTTTCGTTTGAAATAAGAACACTGACTTTACGCGTGATACAGAACTTTTTTTTTTTTTACAGCGTTCTGCGCGAATATTCAAGCGCATATAAATGTAAGATATATATATATCTGAATGCTACTATTGAATATATACAGAGGATGAATGAGAGTGTGTGTAATGATCTCACTTTTAATCTTATAGTTCATGCTCGTGTGACACGTGCGCGTGTAATAATTTTGCAGAATAAAAAAAAGATTCGATTAGGTTGTGCTATAAGATTATCGTCATAAGAGATTTCAAAGATTTTTTGTGTGTAAGTTTTGCTTGCTACTATCTGCAGTAGGATTGAAAAAAATTTCGTAAGCTTCGAGTGTTTATATATATATATGTAAGTGTATAAGAGAATCGTAGAATTCCGTGACACGTTTTAAAATAATATTTTTTAATTTATTTTTTTTGTTTTTTTTTTTTTCTATTTGAAAGAAGCAGAAGTTTTGTTACGTATTGTATATTTATGCATAATAATGAATTGTATTTTATATCTAATCCGAAAGAGTTTGGGTGTGTACATGTCTTTGCAAAGAAAAATGTTTAAATTCATATAATCGTTGCACAAAATATTCCACTGATCAGTTTATATTTTGAATGTGTAGTATACCGAGTTTTGTACCTCATATGCTTTAGCATTCTCAAAATAATGAATATATAAACGAATAATCATAACATTTATAAACACAAACATTTAGTATAGAAAGGAAACACTGTAAATGAGATTATAATAATTGTATAGGATAAATTTTATCGTAATAACAAGGAAAGAATTTGTATAAAAAATCACATTATTAGGGTTGTCTATAAACGCATATTTCGTAAAATTATAATTTGATATACATGTACAATAGAAACTCTTTTTTATATATTGTACAATGAAATAAAATAAAAAAAAGATGGATTTATTTTCAAGATTTACTCTGTTAATAATATATATATAATATATCACATTTCTTTCACACCTCGTATAAATTGTGAAAATTTGTAATTATAAGTGTGTGAAAACAGTCATTAAATATTTTTATAAATTATTTTATTATTATCTCGTGTATAATTCACAATATCTGTACATTTACGCAAACTCATAACGCAAATTTGTATGCTAATGTGTTTGCCGTTAAATTGCCATCTACATAAGTGTGTTAATCGCTCATGCTTCAACAGGATTACTCTTTTGCTCTTTCATGCCACTGCCTACGGGACCATGACGACGCTCCCAGATCATACGATGTTTTTGTTTCATATAAGCATTTTTAACATTAGTATATATTCCCATCTCTCCATCTGCATATTTTTGAACAATTATATTATTTAAACGTTTTGCTATATAACGCTTCTGTGTTGCAAACTTCTATGTACTTGTGTTCGTGTGACATGTAAGTGTATATTTATACACTTGTGTGTGTACATAGGTAACGTACACATATATGTACATTAATACGAACTGATAATAATATTTAATACGTACATTTTATAAAATAATTAGTAGCTGTGTCTTCGTAAGCTTTTTTTATGTCATCGCACAAATGGACATCTTCACCGTGGTAAAATGCGCACTGCTCAAAACGACTTCTCAGAATAAACACAATTTCTTCATCCACTGACCTGACGTTGCACAGACGAAAGTTTAATAAAAATAAAACATTAATTAAGGCTTTAGAAATTCTGACTATCAATAATAAAAGAAAATCAAAACGTTCTTCTATACTTTGTTTACAAATCATGAAATTTGAACATACCTGTCTCGGTGAAATTGGGAATTTGCCTCCGTAAAACAGACCATATCGTCGGTGTAACATTCGTCGATCGTCGGTACGCGACGAAACTTTTGATGATACCACGGATATTTCTTTTGATTCGGCACCACGAACTTTTCTACAAAGGCAATCGTACGTTTGTGTGTTTTTTAACTTATATGTATTGTAAAGTGCAACATAACCACATAGATGATTAGGTAATACCTCGAATATAAGTAACTGGTGTGTCCAGCATGTAATAAAAGTTGGTCATAAATTTAATGAACGCATTTTCATTCTCTACCATTTTTTTTAAATAGATGAAATAACAGTATCAACAGTGGCGATTAATGTTGTTTTTGTGAAATTTGTGTTAAATAAAAATGACACCAATCCTCGATGCAACACTCGACACACCGCAACACGCTTGAACACACTGCTACCGTCTGCTGCAGTGTTGTCGCAAAGTCGCGTTTTCACGCACGCGCACTGCACCGCCAATCAGTTTCTTCTAAGAGCCGTGTTTTTACGCATGCGCTCTTAAATAGTAGTCTCACTGCCGTACTACTTTCGACATCATTAAGGTTCTGTTGGGACCGAAATAATTTTTCACAATTTAACGTGTTTTCTAATGATATTTATTTTGTTTTTTAATAACATTTAAATAAAACAATATTAAGAAAATAGGATTTAAAAAAGATAGAAATATGAATTCTGACTTCTTAGAATTCAATTCTGACATCGGAAATACTGACTTCTTCAGTAGCACACTGCGCTACTGACTGTTATATATTATTATATTACTTAGTTTTGTTAAAATAAAAGAATGTATGTTTGTTTTTTTTGAATACTGATAAGGTTTTTGGCAGTTTTCCTTACCCCTGCAACAAATGTTGGTATTTGTGATTTCTGCCACATAAAATATCACATTAAATGTTATTTCTATGTTTATTTATTTCTATCTTTTTTTTTAAATCTTTATTTTCTTAATATTGTTTTATTTAAATGTTATTAAAAAACAAAATAAATATCATTAGAAAACACGTTAATTATGAAAAATTATTTCGGTCCCAACAGAACCTTGAATGATGTCGAAGTAGTACGGCAGTGATATTATTTATTTAAGAGCGCATGCGTAAAAACACGGATCTTAGAAGAAACTGATTGGCGGTGCAGTGCGCGTGCGTGAAAACGCGACTTTGCGACAACACTGAATTGGATTGCAATTTGGTCAATCAAGAGCGAAGATCAGTAAACTTAGGATTGGTTTTCTTTCTTCTGATTGGTCAAATTTCAATCCAATCTCAATCCCAATCCGTAGTGTGACATAGGCTTTATGCTTATGGTTACGGAGATTCATGTGCGATGGCCTTAAGCAAAGGGTGCGTTCAGACAACTCAACAGTTGCACAACGATTGAGAGATAATCACTTCTGATTGGATCATACTTTTGGAACCTAATGCAGATTTTGAAGAATAGTCCTATCATAAGCGATGATCTCTCAACCGTTGAGTTATTTGAACGCACCTAATAAGTGTGTTCAGACAACTCAACAGTTGCACAACGGTTAAGAGATAATCACTTCTGATTGGATTATACTTTTGGAACCGCAGCAGATTTTGAAGAATAGTCCTATCATAAGTGATGATCTCTCAACCGTTGAGTTGTCTGAACGCACCCAAAGAAGAAGACGTATTTGGCATTTTGGCACATGGTCGGTGATTCTTCTTTTAGAAATAGAGCCAGCTTCACAGTGATAATCGACATTAGTTGAACAATTCAGCAGGTAGAAACACGCTGTATACCGCTGGTGAGAGAGTTTTTACTGTATTTATCGTCACATCATAGGTTGTTCTTTCTACATGTAAGTATCGTGTACGTACAGCAAAAATAATTGTAATATTTTGAATCCAGTATGTTTTATTCAAAAAAAAAAATTCTCTCGTATAATATATTGAATTATGTAGTTATATATTTTAATATAAATTTTTTAGTTTGTTGCGATGGGCAAGCAAAAGCGGCGACAAAAGCCTAACAAAAGGCCTAAGTATTTAATGTTTAAAGATTTCAATGAAGAAGACGAAGAGATTAAGTCTGATAACAAACAAGTTTTACAGAACATATATAGCAATGTAAGTATATAACTTTTATCACAGCATAATATTCCTGTTAATAATAATAATAATTATTATTATATCAATCCTAATCTTGTAAACAATTTTTTAGATATGAATCCTGTAAACCCTGAACACTCGCGTCTGATACGATTTTTTTATTAGCTAAAATGTTGCAATAACTGAAAATTTATGGGGTTTCATCCAACATTTTATATTAAGAAAATAACATTTTTGTTGTTTTTATTTTTTTCAGTTTTGATGTTTTTATTTTTTTTGAAATTCTTCAACTAAATGGTTAATAAGATTTTCTCATTTTCAAGAATTGCTCGGACATTAATGCCCAGGGTTTACACGATTAGGGTTAATATTTACATTATATTATTTTATGATGTTATTTAACTTCTTTGCGAATATTTTATATAATAAACATTTTCTTGTTTTTATTCACAAGGTACAGTCACATAATTTTGAGGAAAGGTTTTCCTCTTTGCAAGTATTGTCGTCAATGTCTTGCGATTCTTCAGCTCTAGCTAAGCAAATTGCTAAGGATGGAATAGCAAAAATAATTGGACCGATGCTAATAGATAAAAATATAATTATAAGGAGCAGTTCTGCCAGTACTTTGAAGGATATCGCTGAAAATGGTGAAGAAGAAGCGTGCAGTGATTTAATCAAAGACGATATTATGACTCCATTAATTACATTATTCAATGAGGTATAAAATACTAATAATAGCATATGTAGTATTATATATTATAGTATATACGTGTATGTGTTGTGACAATGCCATGACAAAAGTGTCACATTGTAATGATGTGATCTTTGTCACAGTGTATACATGTGTGTACTTATGTATGCGCATATATATAGGTTGAACTAATATCTTAAGTCATATTTATCGTACAACTTAAAATGATACAATGAACTCAATTGAAGTTTTTATCCACAGTATTCACTCTGGAATCCAGAAAAAGACAATTCAAATAACAAGGCAAATAAGATAGAAACATTTATAGAGGCTGTTAATTTATTGTGGGTATTATGCGCAAATAATGAGAATGCGCTTAATCGGGCTAACAAAGAAGATTTGCCTTTGTTTCTAACAAAGTTTGTTAACATTGATGTTTACGGAATGAAAGTTGTTACAACTGTTATACAATGTATGGTATGCTTGTCAGATGAAAACAAAACTGCTGTTGAACAAATTGAAAAAACTGAGCCAATTTTGTTCAGTTTATTAGACCTGACACCAAGTGATACGAATGTTTCTGAAGTGTTGTATCTAAAAACTGCCGTGGCTGATTTATTAAACAATATGAGCAGTTGCACAGACGGTGATCAGGTGAATGTGCTTCGTAAAGTGGTGTTGGTACTTTCTGAAGTACTTACCGTTGATCTCACAGAAATCCTGTCTCGATTAACGTCTATCTTACCGCACGAGAGCAATATTTCGCATAATAAACTGAAACAAATACGAGAAAGTAAAAACATATTAGAGGCACAGGAACAAGCTTTACAAATTATAGCAAACTTGTGCTTCGATGAAGAGAATAATTTGGTTGATTCTGATATCGATGATTATGAAACGGAGGCGGAAATATATACAGACGACGATCCTACAAACTGCAAAAAACCGTCGACACTCGCGGTAGAACTAGTTGAAGTTATGGACAGTAGTAGCTTGATCGACAAAGTCTGGTCCAAGACCAAGTTCACGGTGGACGATGACAGTCGAGAATTACTGGATCAAACTGCGGATGGAAAAGCTATGCTGAAATATTTTAATAAGATTCAGTGCACAGCTTATTTGTGTTTAAGTAACTTGATATCCAGTATGGAAATTGATGTTTTCGGAGGCATTGTTATTTTATTCAAGTACATATCTTTTATTATTCATTTGTAATAAATCTTTGCAATTTCTTTTCATTATTCTGACTCATTGTTCGTGGGTTATTTTGCGTTCAGGAAATGTTTCGAGATAACAGATATATTCAAAGGAGAGGAAAACAACGCTGAACTTTTTGAAGCAGCCTCCGCGGCTATGCGAGCTATCCTGCAACGATTGGTTGAGATACAGACGGAAGTCCTTGACTTTAAGTACGAAGATATTGAATCAATAGTGAACGACATGAATCAGTGTCAAAACACGAATGTTCGCGTCAACTTGATAAGAATAATCAGTGATATGGTGCGAATTGCGATTAATGGAAAAGAACCGGAAAGATACAAGATGATAAAGGTAATAATTCTTCTTTTGTGTTTTGAAATTTAAAATATTCTGTAAGTAGCGCTACCAATGATTCAAAGCGTCATTCTATTTTTCATTAAATGTGTAGAATAAAAAAAAAAAAAAAAATGATGCTTCAAAGCATTTGCAGCGCCTCGTTGACGATACCATAGTCGTCTGTCACTAATTAAAAAATTTATTTTGACTTTCTTTCATTTTATACAGAATGTTTCTATGATTTTATTGGACATTTGTGAAAAAGATACTCTAGCATGGGTAATTGCCGAATCGATAGACGCGTTAATGGACATACACGGGGAAGAAGATACCGACCGTGTGGCAATGGAAATCGATTTTGTGCCGAGACTGAGAAATTTGACGTCGCATTTTAAAAGCAAGGTAATCGTATTATTTGTTCCAAATGCAAAATTTGTAAATTTTATAAATTTATATTATGTATCCAAACTCTCTTAATATGTTGATTTAATCTTAATAATCTCATTTTTATAGGTGAACGAACAGAAGAAATGTTTAAAGGATCACGCATGCGTAGTCTCGACTGTAAACGCAAATTTGTCGAGATTCATAAGATACAAAGAGAGGAAAATGAGAAAATTTAGAAGAAGAAGCGAAGATGATTAAAAATAAATGTTAAATAATAAGATAAGATAAGATAAGCTAAAAGCGGGGGGGGGGGGGGCTTGTGAGTCCCTTTTGTCACCTAGATCTATAAGATCCTCAGCGACTCCCGCTAGTAGTTTATCGTCCAGGTGCTGTTTTAGCCCGGCATTTGCTTCCAGGCTACACAGGTGGCCGATATTGTGTATTTTCAGGTCTTCGGGCTCCATGTTCGTGGAGATCTGAGGAACCTCTTGAGTACCAGAGACGGGCAGCGACACATTATGTGCACGCTGTCCTCCCTTTCCTCACCGCAAAATCTACATCAGAGCCTTCCAACTCGCGCACGGCGTGCGGTTTGCGCCGTAAGATTTCTATGCGGTCACGTGATCAGTTGGAAGGCTCTGATCCACACCCACTCTCCTAGGCCTAAGTTGAACAATTGTGCTCTGAAGGCCCAATAAATGTTAAATAATAACTGTTGTAGAATTTTGTACGTCTTATAAAAAATCTTGTGTAATACAGATACGACATCTGTGTTAATAAGGACTGTAGGATTGTATGTATTTCTCGCAAAATATATTTCTGTAATGAAGGTTTTAAGTTTTATTATATCGTATCAATAAATAATGAAAATCATACACCTAAGTATTTTACGGCGAAACATCGCAAACGAGGAAACATTCATTTATAAATCATGTACAGCGTGGTAGAAATGCCAAAGTATGAAACTGCAATGTAACAACAAAACGTGTGTACTAAAAATGAGCGTATATAAACGTAGCATGTGCGCGTAGCTTTATGAGTATAGTAGTTCCTCTATAAACACGTGGAAAGTCATCGTATCGAAGTTTTTAATTAAACATAATTCCGCTTCCATCTATGGAGTCGTAGAAACAAGACGATTTTACCAGAGACATCCAAAATCCTCAAAAACAAAGAGCTAGTTTGATTTTCAGAAGGATTTACCTCTCTTGGCATTGATATCATCCGGACTTTTGCTTCTCTCTTTCGAAAGTCTCGATTCGGACACGTCTTTTAAACTGAGAGCGCTGTGTCTTCTAGGTTTCGGAATCGGATTTACCTCGTCCAAGATTTCGGGGGGTTTGTGCCTGATCGGTTCGGATATGTGCAGTTCGATCACCTTGACCGGGTCCCGGGGCGCCGCGACCGGTACCGGCGGATCCGTCAATCTGACCACGTGAATGTCTTTTTGCTCGCACGGCAACTTTTTGAATTCCAACTTGATCGGACCGGACGGACCGTCTACCATGTTTTCAAAGAAGTTACGGCGATTTGCCTGAATTGACAATCTTGCGTTCGTCGTCGATTCGTCGTCACGCGCGTCAACCGTTTCCTCCTCTTGTTCGTCAGCATTTTTGCTCTCCAGAGCCTTGATCTGTCGTTCGATCTTCTCGATTTCTTCTTTAACGGAAAAATTATCGCCCGGCGACAAAGCGCTGGACGAGCCTCCATCTTTTTTTCTGAGACAGACCTCGTTGAAATCTTCCTCGATGTCCTTGATAATTTCCATCTTCTCTTGGGACGTTCTCTCGTATTCTATGTCCACATGATTTTTTTCGACGTTATCTTCAACGTCGATGTCTGACTTCTTCTTCTTATTCGATTTCTCTTCTGTCGTCTCAGACTCGGTTTCCTCCGACGTTTCGTCGAAGCTGTGCGCCGCTTTTTCTTCCGAAGGATCGTTTTCGATCTTTATCTCAGGCTCGGGGTCTTTCTTCGAAACTTCATTCGCTTCGTTCTTCACAATTATCTTTTCAACGTTGTCGGATCGCACGGTCTCGGTTGTTTTCGCTAGCAATTCGGACGTCCGTTTCGTTTCTTCCCGCGATGATACGTCATGATTTTTCTCAGATGTCATCTCGTTGACGCTGTCCGCCGCGATGATACTGATCGGTTCGGTTATTTGGAGTTCGATCGACGTACTCGTATCCGGTGTGGATTCTGTTGTTGTTTTATTTGCTTCTGTCGCAGATCGACCGTTATCTTCCTGCAAAATTGCAGTTTAAATCAGAATGCGAATAATTTCATCAATTACATGTAATAATAATATTGAGTATTGTTATTTGTTAACGATCTCGAACTGAATTATTCACATGTACCACAGAAGCTTCCAACTGTTCTTTCTGTTTAGGTGGATCCGGCGCTCTTCGTTTTTTGCGTCTATACGTGCTCGCCGTACTCGTAACGGATACGCAACTGTTGATGGACAAGTTCGATCTTCTCACCGCGTCCTGACTGAATCTTTTGAAGATATAATCCTCGGCCATGTTTTCGTTCTCGTCTCTCAAGCCAGCGTCGCTGGCTCGGGTGACCGAATCGTCCTCAAGATCCGACGCGGTTCCGTTCAATCTCTGCGATGATCTAACGCCGAATCTTCGCCTGAAAAAAAAGTTATTTATTTATTTATTTTATAGTTAATTGTTAATTAATTTATTTATTTTTCTACTAACGGCGTAATTTTTTTACACGATATTATAGATATTATCAGGTAATTATTGAGGATAGCCAAATGTGAAAACTCAATACAAAGCAAATCATTGTACAGATTAAGTTGCTCGCCAATTGCTGTTGTGTTGTTTTTATTTATTTATTTATTTATTGTAGATTTATTATAGATTTATTTATTTATTATAGATTATTAGGTAATTATTGAGTACCCGGATAGCCAAATGTGAAAACTCAATATAAAGCAAATCATTGTATAGATTAAGTTGCTCGCCAATTGCTGTTGTGTTGTTTTTATTTATTTATTTATTTATTATAGATTATCAGGTAATTATTGAGTACCCGGATAAACCAAATGTGAAAACTCAATATAAAGCAAATCATTGTACAGATTAAGTTGCTCGCCAATTGCTGTTGTGTTGTTTTTATTTATTTATTTATTGTAGATTTATTATAGATTTATTATAGATTTATTTATTTATTATAGATTATTAGGTAATTATTGAGTACCCGGATAAGCCAAATGTGAAAACTCAATATAAAGCAAATCATTGTACAGATTAAGTTGCTCGCTAATTGCTGTTGTGTTGTTTTTTATTTAACGCAACGAAAATAATGTTTTTGTCAATTCAGTATCGATATGCTGAGTTTTATTTATCAATCAATTGTTGTAGCTCCAATGTTTAGGACATGTGAGTCAGCAATATTTGAGCAATATATGAGCAATAATTTTTATTCACAAGTTGAGAAAAATAATAGAAGTTTATTGCCAATGAGTTGTTGAGAACTTGCTGTTATTATATTTTGAAAATTATTGTTGGCAAGAATACATAGTGAAAAGAGGATACACCCTTTTGTTACATTGCTGAAAACATATGAGTAATATTTGTGGCAAGTTGCCAACAATTTGCACTCAGTTGGCTATCTCTGGGCAATTATTATAATATATCGGAAAGTAGAACAAAAAAAACAACAAATACAGAGAAACAAAAAAATAGAAATACTAAAAATCAAAAAAAGAACAAAATGTAACATACAATAAATTACAGATACGTAACAATTGCAATAAAATTTTAAATCGCGAACAAAATTTATCATTGTTAATTATTTGCAGTTTGTTACTTGATATTATATAGTAAAACGGGTTTATAATTATGTTTAATTAAAATTTGCAGCAATCAGAAGTTTTTTGAATCAACGCAAGTGTGACGATAATATTAATATATAAAGTAATGAGCAAAAAATCTTACAGTGGCGGAACCGGCGTTTCTTCCGATCTGTTGTCGAGACTGACAGTACCGTTCTGCTTGTCTTCGAAATTCAGAGGTGGTATCTTGTCCGTTGGCCTCGGACTTACTTGTCCAAATCTAAACAGAGGCAGAGTTTAACTCCGAAAAAAAAAAAAACCAAGGAAAAAACGGTTTTGTTGTGATTTTGCATTACTCTAACGTATTCATCATAGTTTTATCACATTCTAAGATACTGATATTTTCTGTTCCATAGATCTGTATGTACATTTAAGACGTGAAAATCAATATCTATGAATATATATGTCTTGTGAAACCGCAAATATGTTCAGCAAAAAAATTTTATTATCACTTGGATCGACCGAGAATTCCAAGTGGCAAATGGCGCAGTAAAAAATGAAAAAGCAAGAATACTTTTTTTTAATAAACGTGAAATTTTGGTCAATGAGAGCTATACGTTGAATGTTTGTCGTGTATTTTTTGTATATATAAGTTATATATATATATAACTTATATACACAAAAAAACTTGTATATACAAAAAATACACGACATACAGTTATATATATATAACTTATATATATATATATATATATACAAGGTGTCCTAAATAAAGTGTTACAAGCTGTTTTCTCAGAATCTAATAAAGAAAGCAAGAAAATTTTTTTTTAATTAAATAGTTTAGTGCTATCTTCTACTGTGTAACAGATTTTTTTAAGCAAATGCTATAAGAGAAAGGGAAACGCCCAACATTTTTTTAAATGGAAAGTGATATTAATTTTTTTTTATTTTAATACGCGACAAACGTCCAGTTTATGGCTCTCATTAATCAAAATTTCACGTTTTTTAAATTCCAAGAGCTTTAAACTAACTCTTTTTTTTTTTTTAATGTTTTGTTTTGAAGCGTTTGAGACCAAAATGAAATTGGATCGATTCGGTCGTTATTGAAATATTGCGTCGGGAAAATTTCCCCACTTCCCCAATCGTACACGGAAAAAAAAATGATGTTGAATCAATCAGTATTAGTTTAATTGAAATACATCCTGTTGATGTAACATCAATATTATTGCGCTACACACTGCAGATAGTTGCTTCAAGAATCTAGACATTAAATTAATCGCATACGCAATTGAATGAATTATTTATTTTTGTGGCAGCCCGTGACGTCAATTTTAATTGAAGCAACTCCATTTTTTTTTCTGTGTACGAATCGCGTACAAGAGGCACTGGGGCACGGGTGCCTCATGACGTATCGAGTCCGATACCACCGTGCCTCTTGAACGCAAGAATAATCCGATCGATAAAGGGTGTCAATAAAGAAATTTATTATTGATAAGAACTTTCTCGCATGTAGACGCAGAGTCTCAAGCGCAGTGTCATTTGAGAAAGTCCTCGCTTGAATTTGATCAAGTTTACCGTCTAGCCGGTGGCTTTGGTGTGAGATCGACGCCCATGATAGACGTTGTCGTGTCTTGAGGATGATGCCCGTCGGAGATTTTCGCGAAATCTCCGTTAACCGTCAAATTTGAACTGTATCTCGAAGCTGAATTGTTGAGAGTATGTTTCTTTCTTCTCGTCAATGTGCCCAGGGCTTCATCGAATTCCTGGTGATCCTTAGATAGACGCGGAGGCGCTATTGGTTTATCGTAAGGCTGTCTCTTGTATGTTGTCGAAACTGCGATATAAGTTACATTGTATTTTACATAGTATATAAAGTCTATATGTTGTCGACCTTTAAAACGACATTAAAAATTATTATATAAACAGTGAGATAATATTCGCATTTGCGACCTCATCAGAAAAGCTTAGTTTTTTTATCTTATTTTAATTTTGTTGACCGGCAATTTTACTGAAAATTTATCTCATGTCACCGGCTATTATTTCGTAATTGGAAGTGGAAGTAAAACAATAAAAATAAACTTTAATAAATTTTATTTAATTTAATTTTTTTTTTTTTTTTTTTAACGCATCACGAGTTAACTCGTGACCGGTCAGCAACGTTCGGCCATAAAAACACGAGTTAACTCGTGACCGGTCAACAATGTGTTAAGTATAAAATGCCTCTAAGTATATACAGTGGCTCCAAAAAAGTATTGGCACAATCACATTTGATAATAATGTAAATAATTAGGATTATATGTCTTATAATAAAATTAGAAATAAAAATGACTAATAATTTAGGCCGATATCACAGCCAAATACACAGGAAGGTAATGTGTTGATTTCTTGTTTATTGAATGTCTTCCAAACGTTTCGATCCCTAGATTCGGGATCTTCTTCAGTGGAATACGGTTAAATGGTTGTTAATGTGTCATGGATTTCCAACATAGTACATTTTACTGTTGGAAGTATTGTACTAACAGTACAATACTTCCGATTACAGGTCGCTTCATGTCGATAGTATGTACGTTTAGTTTTAACGACACTTAATCAGAAGTCGTTTTCTATTTTTTTTCGAGGGGGAAGCAGGAGGAAGGGGCGAAGCCCCTGCGGGGAGACGCAGCCCCCCCTGCCTACATGCTTTCAACACACAAAAAATGTACATGTTGTCGGGAAAAAAGATTTATTTATGAAACTTTTTTTTGATCATAACTTTTTTATAAACAATGAGCGACGGCTAAAACTTTTAGAAACGCGTATACTCGGGAAGGTCATATTTACAATATATGTGAACGAGAAGCCGATCGGAGGGGGCTCCCCTCTATTCTGTATATTTACCGTTTATATTCGATAGCTCAAAGAATTACGAGTAATTAATAAATAAAATAAACAAACCTGTTGTAATTGTCGACCTCTTTTCCATCGGTTCTGTAGTTTCTTTGCGCTTTCCGAACAATCCATTCCTGAACACAAAAATCAATTAAAGTAAATTAAATAAATAGATATTTTTGACCGCAACGTTTTTAAGTTGCCTTCCGTTTTACAAAAGAAAGACACAGCGCAGAGTTTGAACTTAAAATTACGCGCGCAATGGAACGATATGTCACTTTGATTTAGAAACTCTGATTCCGCCAGCAAACAAGACGAGCAGCAATTAGGGTAAAAGACCCAATTACCGTCACCTGTCCAATTACTGTCACCCTAAGCTATTTTATTTAAAATATTAAATAAATCCTAAAAAGTTATGCATGAAAACAATCTAACATAGAATTTTAAGTGCAATTAATATAACAAAAAATCCAGCGCTCAACATTCGCGTCTCATTTCTTTCATTTTAGGGGGTGACAGTGATAGCTCTCGCATCGTTCTTTTTTAATTATTAAATTTATAAATAAAAATAAAGAGATTTTGAGAGGCGGTATTATTTTGTTTCTTATATTAGAGACATTGAATAATACCAGATAAGAAGAAAAACACATGTTTTTGATAAATAAATAGTAAAAACAATTCGCTAACGCCAGAGTTTATTATTCGGGTGACAGTGTAATTGGGTCTTTTACTCTATGTCGCGCGCGGTTTGCGTTAAATCTTTTTAGCTAAGGTTTTTGCGGCTCTTGCTATTAGATGCACGCAAAGGTGATGAGATTGCGAGTCACATTGTTTGACACACTTAACGCACACGTTGGAAAATTCATGACGCGTAACATCATCATCATTATTATTAGGTCATCATCATTAAGCTATATCTGTTTTTTTACGTCCTAGAAATTTCGTCAATTTCGCGTCGATTAAAGTCAAACCGGAATTGAGAATTTCCGCGCGACGGAATTTTACTCGGTGAGTGTAAAAATAAACGTGAAAGTCATCGAAGAACATGCGCGTCATGTGGTCTGTAACGTCACGCAAACGCATTCTTATTTTTATCCATTGTTGTTATAAACTATACGCGCGAGTTTGGATATTCTTTTGTTTGTGCAAACGCCGATGAGACATAAGCAGCGCTTTATCGCGTATAAAAGCAAAAAGAAAATAAAAAAAGCGCAAACAAACGCGAAAGGAAATCGCGAAAAATCTCTTAAAACGGACGCGCGCGTCCGAACGGCGAAGCCTTCCTATGCATTGCGATGGTTTAAAAGCGTCGATTATAGTCATCCTCATTCCGACTAATATCACTTCCACTTTGCCGACGATCACGGCCGATAATTTAAAGAGCGCTCGCACTCGTTCAGCGTGTTCTAAAAACGTCAGGTCGCTTTTCGATTTCGACGATCGTCGCATTATATTTGTTATCGCGATAACAGATTCTTGGATTTCTTTTGCGCACAGAGTTCCGGACTCCGCGGGATATAATATCCGACTGTTATAATCAGACCGGAACTCGTTTCTAATGAAAGTATTTTTAGTCATGTGAATAATGCGAAAACACCGACGTATATGACGAGGAGCAACTTTTTCCGAGGGAAAAAAAATAAATGGCGCGCGCGACTCTCGTGTTGTTTCTAATTCCGCGCGTAATTTACAACAAAACATAATTTAAGTATTTTAAACAAATAATCGAGATAAAAAGCTCTGACAATGTCGAATCGAGAGAAATAATATATAAAATGTTTTTAAGAACGTTCTCCGAATTATTGATTTTCTTTAAATTTTCGGTATACATACACCGAAAAAATTCTATTCTTGTAAGTAGAAGATTTTATACTTACAAAATCTTCTTAAAGATTTTAGATGATATTCTTCTGAAATTAAGAATATATTCTTTATTTAAGAATATAGCCTTTTTCGATAGTAAGATATATATGTTTTTCTAGAGGCTTTTTATATTCTAATCAGTATATATTCTTATCAATATTACTATTTAGAGGATTTTCCTCTTAAAATAAGAAACTCTTCTTGGCGCCTATTTTAGTATAAAATATACTTAAAGTAAGTGGGATATCTCCTCAAAACAAGAATACAATTTTTTCGGTGTAGAAATTTATAAAATATTTGACGTTTTCGTCTTTTGTCTCCGAAAATATCAAATCTAACAAAAAGAAGTAGAATTAAATAAGAATAAAACCATAAAAGAAAAATTAAAGTGAGTAAATTTGCTCTAAAATTGTATATATTCTTATCAATATAGCAATGTGGTAAATTCCAAAATATGGAAGATTTATATTTCAATTTTTAACATGGATTTTCTATGCTGAGTCTTTGTAAAGTGGGGTTTTTTTTTTAAATTACTGACGACAATTTTCTTAGGATTTTTTTAAAAAACAAGTATGTGGTAGTGGAGAGTGTCCTAATTAAAATACGATTTTGAATAATATGGCAAGCAACTCTTTTTTTCAAACTGCAGCTTTTTTTTGTTTCTTTTTGGTTTTTTTTTTTTGCTGGATTTATGTGCGCTGTGTACTGCAGCTATTTTTGAACTTCTGCGCGGAGTAAGCGGGTCTTAGCGGTGCTGAATAGCTCAACTTAACTTTGTTACAGCAAAGTACAAACTTACTCATGAGAAGAGATATTTTAGGTTGCTAACCACTGTATTTAGGTTGCTAACCACTGTAGTCGGAGAACGTCCTTAAAGAACCAAACGCTCTTACTGTTATGTTGTTTTGTTGCAATGCTTGAGATGTTTTACGTGTTATGTATGTATGTATTTGTTAGTATAGAAGAAAAAATTCTTTGCGTAGAAGAAAAAGAGAGCAGGTATTTCAACATAGGAATGTTGCAGCCTGCGCGCATGTCATTTGGACTTTGGCCAAGCTTGCACGCTCTATCGTGTGCTATCGATAATCTAAATTACACGAGCACAAGTTCAAGTTCAATAAACCTGCAATACTTGCGAGCGATATCCGTCGAGCTTGGCTCGCATTCATTATATCATTGATTACAAATACATACTTGCATTGCATATTACGCTCTTTGTATATAAAATTTTGCACGTTCGCCCGCATATAGATCCTGTTAAGAAGTACGGCTTGTCTCGCTATGACAATATTTTCACAACCCGGGAAAAAATAGATCAGATCTAACTTAAATTTAACGAGATAAAAAAAATGGAAAAAGATAGATCTAATTAGATCCAAATTAAATCTAAATAGATATAAAGTAGATCTAAATAAATATAAGCAGATCTATTAAATTTACAGCTTTATATATATATTATTAAATCTACTTTAGATCTACTCAGATCTACTGTAATTAAAACTACTCAGATTTAAACTAAGAATGAAGAGGCTAATATGAGCCATCTAAGATTAAATAGGCCAATACGAGCCATTCCCAGGTTGTTGTGCAGGAATAAGCGTGCATGTATATATATATATACACATGTATGTATATATATATATACACATGTATATACTCAGATTTAGTTAGATTTGAGCAGATCCGAACAGATCTGAGGTGATCTAATATATAATAGATCCGAGTAGATCAAGATCTAACAATAAATAAAAGTGTAAATTTCCATAGATTTACTTTAATTTATTTAGATCTACTTTATATTTATTTAGATCTACTTTATATCTGTTTAGATTTAATTTGGATCTAATTAGATATATTTTTATATTTTTTTTATCTCGTTAAATTTAAGTTAGATCTAATCCATTTTTTCTCGGGAAGTGCTTACCAAGTCGATTTGATTGAAAAGCTGTTCGATCTTTTTTTCCGACTTCTGCCGAACGTCCAGAATTTGTGTCTAGATTCCTTCGACGATTTGATTTCGTGGCGCATCTGCGGCTGAGAACTCGTCGTATCATCGTTGAAGGGATTCAGATGTTCTGGATAATCATAAATCGATACGCTGGATCGTCTTGGCCTCGGCGACGACATGGCTCTGACTTTCCGTGAGATTTTGATCGCCGCGTCTCGATAGGAGAATATATTATTATCACGCGAAATGTCGTGAGGACACCTCAGGTACACAGGTCATCGATTTCTCTTGTCATAGTTCTAACCAAAATCCTCCGCCATCTGCAAGCTAATTTCCAAGACAAAATAAATAACGCTAAGTATCAAAGTCAACACACGAGCCTATACGCTGAATGTCCGTGCAAATTTAAATAATAATTTAAAAAATTTAAATATAATTTTCTAACTTCCTTAAATCGTGTAAATTAATATATACATCAAAATTTGAAAATTTACATATTAGGATTCTCCTTTACGGAATGCGGGAGATCCGAGTTTGAATCTTAACCGAGTTATCTCTTTCGCAATGAAGTTTTCAATTTCCACGAAGAGATAGATTAGATATTTCGCGTATTCATAATGCAAGTATCTCGTGTAAATTTTCGAATAAAATTTAAGTCAAATGTTTCGATGTTGCATTAATTTACACGATTTAGGGAAGTTGGAAGATATATTTATATTTGCACAAACATCCAGCATATATATATAAGCTCATTGACTTCAATACTTATTGTTAGTTTGAAATTTCCATTTAAATTGTTGTAAGTAAAAAAAAATGTTAATCGCGAAATCGCGATCACAGACTATTTATATGTCGTAAAATCCGTACGTCGAAAGTCTCAAGTATACTTTGGTATATATTGCAAAGTATATCGGGGTATATAAAGTAGAAATCAAATAATATATTTAATGTTACACGTACATAGATACGCAAGATATCTCAAATATCGTCAACTTAATTTTGTATATCGTCGTAATTTCCCGGTAAAAAATTTTTCACATATACTTATACGCAAATTAGAATTATTATATCTAATTATACAAATTTATATGCCGAATATGTATCCATACAATTTTATACACGGAGAATTTCTTTTTTTAAAAGAATGGCTTCAGAGATATTAAATATCAAATTACAAAATAACTCTATTAGTATCATAGATACAAAAAATTATATAAAACTATACTTTCACTATATTTTAAAAAATTTTTTGATATATAATCATATATACTTATACACAAATTAAAATTATTATATCTAATTATACAAATTTATATATATATACCAAATATGTCCATACAATTTTATACACGGAGAGATTATTTTTTTTAAAAGAATGGCTTCAGAGATATTCCATATCAAATTACAAAATAACTCTATTAGTATCATGTTAGATACAAAAAATTATATAAAACTATACTTTTACTATATTTTTAAAAATTTTTCGATATATAATCATATATACTTATACACAAATTAGAATTATTATATCTAATTATGCAAATTTATATGCCGAATATGTCCACACAATTTTATACATGGAAAATTTTTTACCGGGTTTGTACATCGTCTCTCATAATAAATACAGAACAAATAAGTGAATAATAATTTGTTACGATAAAAAGATGATAATACACTTGTCCATATGTAAAATCCATCACACAAGTTGTCAAACTCGTTGTAATTTATCAAACTCATTAGATAAATCATATTGCTAATCGCTTTTTACGCGCACAGCGTTCTTTTTTTTTTTTTTTTTTTGTTAAATTAACGCGTCGTATCATTAACAGATTATTATCATTTTACGGATCACGCGCGGGAGTGATACAGTTTGTTCGCAATTAATTACTAACGCTGACGTGTGTCGCCGACGGAGTAGTCGATGACAAGCGGTAAGCGATCCGGAGCGATATAATTGCTCGGATGTGCGCGCGTACGTAGTTCTGACAATTGCTCTCGGTTCAAATTGAACGACCCAACGAGGATGGAATCGATGATGTCCGATATCGTTGCAAGTTGTGACGACGGGAGATTAGTTAGACGGGGTGACGCGACAAACAGCAAATACCCGTAAACACGCGCACATTACATACGCTAACCCGGTTAACAAGACGTCCTCTAATCATTTGCGTGGATTACAATGCACAGCTGTACGTCGTTTGCATAACGTATAGTTGCAAACAAGCTGCGTTTCTCTCGTTCTTTGTAGCGCGGAAGATATTAACTATTTATAATTCTTAATAGTTAGCATCTTCAATCGAAGACAAACATAATGTATTTTTCTTGATTTTAACACACGCACGTCTTAGGATTACATTAAAAACAATTTACCACGCTTAAATTTTTAATTTGTTAAATAAATGTTTAATGTTATTTTTATTGTTTATTAATATTGTTTGTTTTTATTTTAACTTTGGATAAAGTTCTGAAAAGCTGAAACTTCCTGATATTGCTTTCGATTGGTATACCATTGTATTTTGGCGCGCTGATTACGAATATGATAGTGTGAAAATTATCGACAAGGTCTCATTTTCAAATTCAAAACAAAACACCTCAAAACTTATCGCTTTTTTAACATTATTTTGATAAATATTCATAGCACAAAAAGTGTTTCAAATAAAAAATTTTGATGTGTGTGAAGCTCCAACAATTTGAAAAATAAAATATAATATTCGCTCGTGTTGTAAAAACAAAGAAATTCTATGATTAAGGTCAATATCGATCTACATACGACTTCAAGACAACCATTTTTTTAATTATTTGTACTAAGCGACTGAAGATGACATCCGTGCATGTCGAAACGTTTCGCACCAAACATATATACTGTGTATCTACTTTTGTTAATGAATTTTTAATATATAGTTTTTATTTTTTCAAGACCGAAGTAACCGACGACGAAGACGTGACGAAGAACCGACTCCATTTTTCTTTCTTTTTTGTTTTTTTTTTTTAAGCTTTTTATTTTCGTTTTACTTTTTTATTTTATGTTTTTACGCTATTTTGCTTTTTTCGCTATTTACTTTTTCATGTTTTTTTTTTAAATATTTATAAAACGCTAAATAAATTACGCGGCGAAGAAGCTCACAAGAAGCAAACTTGTAACTAGTGTCTCTATAGTGAGGGTCTACTGTATTAGGCCAAGTGTGCGAGGAAAAGAAGTGTTTATTAACTTTCCTATTATCTCATTTTTTTTTTGAAGAAGAATATTGATTATTTTTGGCAAAAAATGCGTAGAACATAAATGATGTATTCTTCCAAGAGCTGCAATTTTTATTTGAAACATTTTTTATTACATGAATATAATGTTAAAAAAATAATTAGTAATAAACTGAGAGTCATCTCGGGCTCTTAAGTCTTTGCAACTGGTCGATGTAATTGGTCGTGTAGAGCCGTTCGCTGGATGTTGTGCGGAAAATATGTGTCTGTATATATATACACACATATGTATACTCCAAGTAGCCTCGGTAGCCTAAGGCTAATATTACATTTGTCGTACGACAACGATTTTAAGTATGTTGATTGGTTATCAGATAGAGTTTTATAAAGAACTCTATTTGATAGCCAATCAATATATTTCAAATCTTTGTCGTACGACAAATGTCAATACTAGCCTAACAGGGAAGGCCCGGAAAGCCGGAGATTTTCCAGGTTCGACTCCTGACTGAGGAGTTTTTTTCGCAACATATATTTTAAATTAATTTGGGGATGGGGTATCCGGGGACATATTTTCCGCACAACATTCAGCAAACGGCTCCACACGACCAATTATATTCATCGACTAGTTTAAAAAAATAATGTTAAAGAAAAAATAATGTTAAAGAACAGAGGATAATTTTTGAGTTTTTTCGAGTTTTAACATTTAAAATGACCTTGTCGGTAAGTTTCGCTATCATGTTCGTAATCGGCGCATCAAAATACAGTAATATATCAATCGATAGCGAAACCGGAGAGGTTTCAGCTTTTCGGAACCGCATTCTTAACTTTCGTTATTTTAAATTACTCGTACATTACAAGTGTGTTAATTACTAATTTTTTTTTAGTTTTTGTATTTAATGAAATATTTAAAGAAATAAATAAATTAAATTGCAACACATTAAAATATCTGCATAAACGTATCGTTGATTTTCGACCGGTACTAGATTTTTCTACGGGATTGTCTTAAATCGTTTGAATTGCGATTATTTACGATTATTTTTAAACGAAGTAAAAATAACATTTTTATTCATTTTTATTGTATCAGATCTTTTGCGATACAAAAATAGAAAGGATGAAACGCAAGTGCACGCACACACAAACACATCGCGTAGATATAGGATGTGCGCACAAATAGCGCCTAACAAATGCAATTAGCTCAATTAGCTTACTTCGCGCTTCGTTTTGTTCATCTCGGCGCGCTGTTTCTGCGACTTCGAATCAACTTTTAGAAAACGATTTTGAGAAAAAAAAATGATTCGCGTTTTTTTTTTATTCCGCAAGTAACAAATGACAAGCACCGGCGTCACACACGACAAACGACACACATGGCCGACGCGACACAAAGCCACGTTATTCGAAGGTTGTATGGTAATGTGTGTATCGTGTGATGCATATACGAATCGCTCGCGAATGCAAATGTTCGATGATGCGTAAAAGAAAGAAACATATTTTATAAATAAACTAGTAAAAACTATATTTTTTTTTTTACGTAAGAGGCAAAAAAAGAATAATTTTTCAAATATATATATTTTTTGTTTCTAGTTTTCTAATATTGATAAAATATTACAAGTGTACTGTAAAAATGATTATTTGCGGAAAATATTAACAGAGAATTCATATAATATTTTTTTGCAGAATTTCTAAGCAAACAAGTATATCTCAAGGTTGACGGGAAGAAAGCAATAAAAAAATTCAGTTCAAATGTTAAGTTGATCGCATGTTGTTTGTCTAAAACAAAATACTCGTGTGTATTACATGTTTTGCAGCGAAAGATATACGAGCACAAGATATACAAACGCGCAACGTTTTTTTGTTATTTTGAAACGCGTTAACCTGAGTGAACTTTTCATTATAAGACACACGATTATCCAATAGGGGATTGGATTTGTCTCGACAGTCTGGCGCGATTCAGTTGAACAGGATGTGCCAGATCTTTCACCTTTGAGCTCGTTGACTAATTTGGATTCAAAATGTTTTCTTAGCGAGTGCCCTAACACATTATCATTCGTTCAAACTTTTAACACCAAAAAATGTTGTTGTAAATAATCCTCGTATTGTAGAGAAACTTCGATAAAAAGACGGAAAGAAATTTT